AGAAACTAATAATATAATAGGAGAGGCGCCTTCTTGTAAATGAAAGAGGGGTGTGTGTGTGTGTGTGTGTGTGTGTGTGTGTGTGTGTGTACTAAGAAAGGCCTATAGAAGGTGAGATTTGAACTGAGTTTTAAAGGAAACTAGAGAAGCTAGCAGGGAAGGTGAGGAGGGAGAGAACTCTGGGGTTGGGGGAGAGCCAAAGGAAGTCCACAGAGCCTGGGAGATGTTTTCCTTTCCTTTCCTTTTTTTTTTGTTTCCTTACCATTATCTTTTTAAAGCTTGGGAGACAGTGTTGTGTCAGGAACAGCAAAAAGATCAATATTACTAGATAGTTGAGCATGGGGATGGGGAATAAAGTGTAAGGAGATTGGAAACATGGGAAGGAGTCAGATTGGGAAGAGTTTTAAATCTCCAATGGAAGATTTTATATTTGATCCTGGAGGTGAAGGGGAGATACTGGAGTTTTTTGAGTAACAGCAGCACATGGTCAGACCTGTGTCTTGGGAAAATCATAGCAGCTGAGTGGAGAATGGATTGGAGTGGGAGAAATTTAAGGCAAGAAGACCAGCTAGGAGGCCATTGTAATAATTTAGGTGAGAGGTGATGTGGGCCTACACCAGGGGTGATGACTATTTGAGTGGAGAGAAGGGGATAATAGATGAGAAATGTGAAAGTAGACATGACAAGATTTTGCAACAGATTGGAGAAGTGGGGTGAATTCAAGAGAGTTGAAGATGACCCTGAGATTGCCAGCATTAGTGACTGTGATGATAGTTAAATCCATGGGAGCTGATGAGGTCACCAAGTGGGATAGTATAGAACAGGCGTTGTTAACCTTTTTGCTGTCATAGACCCCTTTGGCAATCTGGGGAAGCCTATGGACCCCTTTTTAGAGTCAAATTTTTAAACACATAAAATAAAATACATATGATTACACAAAAGCAATTATATTGAAATACAGTTATCAAAATGTGTTTAAAAAAACCCAGTATCACAGCTTATGATCCCCTGTATATAGTGAAAAGATAAAAGCATCCAAGGTAGATCATTAGATGACAACCCCAAGTTATCCAGTTGGTGTGAGTTGGATGAAGTTCCAGGTAAGGACACTGAGAAGAAATGGTCAGATAGATAGGAAAGGTCAATGTCACAATAACCCAGAGAGGAGAGAGTATTCAGGAAAAGAAGGTCAATGACAGCATCATAGTTGTTTGCATATTGACTCTTCCATTAGAAGGTGAGCTCCCTGAGGGTAAAGACCATGCTTTTGCCTTTCTTTGTATCCCTGGCACTTTGTATGGTACCTCACCAATGGCAGGCTGCAGAGAAGTTAAGAAGGATGATAACTGAGAAAAGACTACTCGATTTGGCAATTAGATCATAGGCATTTGGAAAGAGAAGTTTCAGTTGAATGTGCTTGGTGGTGGTTAGTTTGGCACTTTAAGCCACAGTATGGGGAAGTTTTTGTGGAAAAAAATCAACTTCAGTCCACCCTACTTGCATCATTATCTTATATTGTTGCTTCGAAGAGCCTGAAGCCTGGAGATTACAGGGGTTCATTTTAACAGAACTTGAACTGGTAACCTTCTGGTCTGTAGAAAAAACGGTTCCCACTATAGAATTATCCACACGAGTTTTGACAGGCTCCATAAATTGGATTTCTTCAAGGGCAGCTCATTTGCATCTAATTTAGCAATTCCATTTTGTTATCACAATCGAAGACTATTCAGCTAAAATTCACTGGGAAAGTGTCAGTCAAGTATCTCTTAATGAGACCACTAAAGGTGGAAGAAAGGAAGGGAAGTCAGGCGCTTCTCTACTTTGTTGTAATAAGGTTTGACCCATCAGTGCATGGCAGTTAACCACAGTGAGCCCCATTTACGCTCTGCAGACCTTGTCATGTTGCTCTGCAGCAGTACAAATGACGATTCTAAGCCAATCTGTCGGGCTGGACTGTCATTAACCGTCTTGTCTGGGATAAGGTCACAATTTTTCTCTGCTCCAATGGGTGTTTGTTCATTAATGCAGCCTGGATTTAGATAATACATCAATAGAGTCCAAAAAGACACATGGGGCATGGGGCAGAATATTCAAGTCTTATGCTTAATTTAAATAATATCCAAGTCCCGTTAAAAATAAGGGCCATTATTGAAAACATGAGGCCGGGGAGGGAAGCGGAGGGAAATCCTTTTTTAAAATCCATTCACTTGGAAATAGCATTGAGTTCTTGTAATTGGGAACAGTGAAGTTTCTTTTTGTCTCCTAAAGAAATTGGAAAATTAACAAGAAGAAAACCAGAGGCAATAAATCCACAGGGAGCCAGAGCACCCTATTAAAGAGAAATGATAGATAGAATAGAAATGTTCATTAAGTTTCAGTCTTGAACCCCCAGATCAATGTGGGAAGCTGCTGGTTTCCAGAAGTGTGTATTTGTGTGTGGGGGTGGGGCTGGAATTGATGCTTATCCCCTCCCTAGAAAAGTTTGTCCATAGAAGTCTTTGATGCCTTTCTGGGGAGAAGACCTTTTTGAAGGTCACCTGCCAGGGCAGGGACCTCTACTTCAGCTTGTCCCTTCCCCAAAGGGGCCATATTTTCCTCCCAGGTCCCAACTCTCAGTGGGAAAATCATGATGGGAACATCAGGAGATCTCTTAGATGCTCTAGCAGACTCACCAAGGACCACCTAATTAGCGAATCTATGAACAGGTGACAAGTAGCAGAGAGTGGAAAGATTTAGGCATTTCTTGTCTTGGGCTTGCATCTGGGCACTGTCACTTCCCACATGTATTACCTTAGATAAACACTTCACCTTGCTGAGCCTCAGTTTTCTCATCTATAAAATAGGGGGTTGAATGAGATGACCTCTGAGGACCCTTCTGATTTTATATTTATAGTCCCTTGTCATTTTTTTTTTCATTTTTACCATTGTGTGCAGTGCCTGATTTAAGGCTTCACAGAACCAAAGAACCTTAGCACCAGATAACTCATATCTGAACAAGAACAGGAAGTAGCCAGGTACAATGGAAAGAGATTTGGAGTCTGGAATCATATTCCAAGATTGATTTGTAATCAGAAGACTGGGATTCAAATCTCAATGTCATAGTCTCATGACCCTAGGCAAGTCATTTCACCTCCAGATGCCTCAATTTCCTTCTCTGTAAAATGAAGGGATGGGACTGGATGAACTTTGAGGTCCCTTCCAGTTGTAGAGCTACAGTCCTTGATACAACATTTCTGAGAGGCCTTCAGCCAGCCTTCATTCAGAAACATGGGGTTGGACCCACAGCCTCCCATGGCAGCCCATTCCACTTCCCCTAAGTGCTAGGAACTTTTTCTTGAACTCAAATGTCAATGGGCAAATTCTTCCCCATTGCTTCTAATTCTGGCCCCTGAGGACAAGAACAGGATAATCCTTGGAATATCTGAGAGTAGTTACCATGCTACCCCCATCTTTTTTTCCCTTTGCACTTACTGTCCCCATTGCATTTCTTTAACTGACCCTCACATGCATAATGTTAATAATAGGTCACATTTATATAGTGTTTCTAAAATACTTCACAAACATAATCTCATTTGGTCTTCACAATAACCGTGTGAAGCAGGAGCTATTATTTTTATCATCATCATTGTCATTACCACCACCACCACCATCATCATCATCATTATAATTATTTCTGTTTCACATTTGAAGACAAGTGTAAGCATGGCATAGCGGATAGAAAGTTGAACATGAAGCCAGGAAGATGGCTCAAGACGCACCTAGGACACATGCTGGCTGTGTGACCTTGGGCAAGTCCTTTAACCTCTTAGTGCTCCAGGCATCATCCTAAGACTCTAAGTTGCAGAAACAGGTACTGATCTACACTAGTAGAGGGAGTTCCTTAAATCAATGAAATTGGAGGTTGAATCCCATCCCATCCCATCCCATCCCATCCCATCTCATCTCCTCCTATCCCATCCCATCCTGTCCCATCCCATCCCATCTCATCCCATCTCATCCCATCCTATCTAACCTCATCCCATCACATCCCATCCCATCCCATCCCATCCCATCTCATCCCATCTCATCCCAACCTATCTAATCTCATCCCATCCTATCTAATCTCATCCCATCCCATCCCATCTCATCCCATCCCATCCCATCCCATCCCATCCCATCCCATCCCATCCCATCCCATCTCATCTCATCTCATCCCATCCCATCTCATCCCATCCCATCTCATCCCATCTCAACCCATCCTATCCCATCCTATTGCATTCTGTCCCATTCCAAATGGGAAACCTGAGTCAAAGAGAGTCTAAGGGGTTTACACAGCTACTAAGTATTTGGATTGGATCCAAACTGACTTCAAGTGTAGTTCCCTATTCACTGAGCCACACTGGGAAACCTTTGGAACATGCTCCTGTGTACCTGGGCCTTTCCTTTTCAAAGCCATGACACCCAGAACTGGACATAATCCTTCAGAAGCGTATTCATGTATTTTGCTTTTCAGCCAGGCTATAACTAGGTTTGGTCCACGTAGAACAAGGGCCAAATGCCTCTGTGACACCAGAAAGGTTTGAAAATTGCAGCCTTTCTCTCCCCCATCATGGCAATACAAACTCAATTTTATCTTTTAAAAGACTAGGTGTGTTACTGTCTAGCGGAGGCTCAGAGCCTTCACTGTAACACAGGTGACTTAACAGCTTGCACTTAAGACCCACCTGCTATGGAGAGGGGAGATTTCTATCACTAAAATACTACATCTATACCATCTCATATCATAACATAACCCTTGTCCTGCCCCTAGTGTGTCGCACCATGAGAAGCTGCCTATATTGCTTGCTCCTAGTTTTCTCTCTATGTCAGTGTGTGCTCATTTCTTGCTCTCTTACTGATCAAACCAAATCTAGGTTTCTCCCTAAGACCAAACTTCAGCCTTAGCAGATTGCGTCCATCCCGTAACATTTTCTCAACTTCTGCTCTATGGTCCCATTGGTGAGTGGTGTGGCTGTGCTTACCTGTGAGGACATCCCATGGCAAGGGTATAGTATTGCTCTATCATCGTCTTCTGCACCCTGGTCCAAGCAGTAGCCACTGGCCTTGCTGTTTCTCACCTGTGTCCAGGAGCCAAGGGAGAAATTGTATTATTAGCCAGTGTCAGTCCCAGGTCTGAGGCTAGGGACTGGGCACACCAGTGAATGAATGAATTATTGGACAAATGAATGAAAATGCATTCATTGGATGCAATGAAATAAAATGTTTACTGTATGTCAAACACTGTAATAGGTACTAGAGACATGAATTCAAAAGTGAGACCTCCCCTGTCATCAATGAGCTTATGTTCTAATTGGGGAGGGTGTGTGTGTGACAATACATATAGGGGAATGGTGGTCAGTGAGGGGAGTTTTGGTCTGGGTAGTTCACAGGGATTGCTGAGTGGAGCCATAGGGCAGTCCACTATCACATTCTTTACAATAGCAGCTAGTTGGAGCAGTAGATAGAGCACTGGGCCTGAAATCAAGAAGACCTGAGTTCAAATTTGGCCTCAGATACTTATCAGCTCTGTGATACTGGGTAAGTCACATAACCCTGTTTGCCTCAGTTTCCTTGTCTGTAAAATGACCTGGAGAAGGAAATGGCATATCACTCCAAATGCCAAGGAAACCCCAAATGGGGTCATGAAGAGGTGGGCATGGCTGAAAAACGACAGAACAAGAACTTCCTGACTGGAAGTTTACACTCTGTCAACTGCATCATGCAGCTTCAGATCTCCAACAGATTTAGCTAGATTCCCCAAATGGCAGATCTTACTTAATCTTGCACAGGAAACCAGTTTCTAAGTTTTGTCGATTCAGCCTTAAAGAAACTATTGATTTCTAATGGAAAAGCTCCTTGGTTATTCCTCTCATGGTGCTGAGGCCATAAAGAAAAAAAACAGCAAGGAAAGAGTGATGATTTCATGCATTCTTTGCCAGAGAGATCCAAATAGAGAGTGTTGGGCTTGTAGCGAGGAAGCCTTAGTTTCAAATCTTGCCCGTGACACATTTAATAGCCATGTGATCCTGGGTAAGTCACTTAACCCCTAAGTGCTTCTGGCAACTTCTGAGGGCTCCTCTAAATCATTGATAAGTTGCAATCTCTATTGGAGAGGCAATTTCCACAGTGGGAGTTTCCTAAACCACCAAAGCCATGGCTCCTTCATCCATGGCAGATAACTCTAAGACAGAGGTTCTTGACTTGGGGTCCATGGAGACTTTTGAGTGGGTGAATTTGGATAGGAAAAAAAAATTTATCATAATTTTCACTAATTTCTAATTGAAGTTTAACATTTCCTTTAATTATTTGAAAACATGATTTGGAGAAGGGATCTACAGGCTTCACCAGATACCCAAAGGGTTCATAACACAAACATAAATAATAATAATAGTACCTAGTATTTATATTGAACTTTAAGGTTTATGATGCGCTTTACGTGTTCTCCCATTTTATCCTCACAACCACCCTGGAATGTAAATGCTTTTATCATCTAATTTTATAGATGAGGGAACTGAGCAAATAGAGGTTAAATTACTTGCCCAAGGTCACACAATTAGTTAGGCGTCATATACACAAAAGAGCAGAAAATAAGATAAAAACCTCCCCGCTGTAAAGTGTTTGTCACTGTGGACACTTCACAGAAGTAGAAAAGATGGCTTTTACTTCCTTTGGATTGAATTGTTGGTGTGTTTGAGGTGACAGGGTCCAGGAAGACAATTAAAATTCACACTCTTGCAATGCCTTCAGATTTAAGAGGTATTTTTCTCATGCCACCTTGTGAAGGAGGGAGACATACTAAGGGGGATGGGAGAGGGAGGCCAGTTTTGTCCATGGAAGGATACATACCAAGTACGGGAAGCCATATTTCAGCAAGGCACCTACCTCTCCATAGGTGATGGTATTGTTATAAATCCTCATCTCGGGGTACACGTTCTCCAAGTACCACTTGAAACTGCGACACTGGAGCCTCTGACGCAAAGCGAGGCGCTCAGACACATCCCCAAAGTCCACTCCTGGGTTCTGTGAAATGGGAATTGAGACACAGGTGGCCTGCATGCTGACTATGTAGGTCACATGGTTATCTTTACATGGGGTCATAGACCTGAGAGATCGTCTCCTCCAACCTCTGCTCTTTATAGATGGGTTATAGCAGCTCGCCCAAATTAAAAACTGCCTTGCTAGTCCTCTCATTTATTGACTTGTCAGTTATTCCTCTTACTCTTTTGGCATTGTATAGAATGGAGTGGGGGCTAAGGAGTTAAGTGGCAGACGTCAACATTAATTGGCTAATCTTGACATCATCCAAAAGGGTTGACTAGAATTGGAAGGATGCTCCCATTCCTGGTACGTGGTTCGGATCGTTAGCGGCTCTTTTTTCATTTATTCCATTTCATACTCATTATTCCCCCCTCTGACCGTGTGCTATACTCTTTCTTCTGGACTGTGGAACTTGATAATCCATGGATGAGGAATGACTATGAGGTAGATGGATTGAAGGTTGAACAAAATTTATATGTAGAATGTATACATCCACATGAGTGCTATTTGTTCCTTCTAAGGAGTCCTCTTGGGGCGTTACATACTTATTTCAACAAGGTTGTGAGAGGTCAGGACATCCCTGGAAATTCCTCTTTGGAAATTGCTTTTAGAGCCGGCAACATAGTCTTCATAAGATCCCCAGTGAAAGCAAATCTTCATCCAAAGCTGGGATTGGTCACTCTTGAACAAAGACTCAGATCCGATGAGTAAGGTCCTACCTGAAGACCTTATTGTGGTATGGAAGGGACCCATGAATCAATCAGTAAGAATTTATTAAGCTCCCACTATGTACTGGGCACTGTGCTAGGCATTGCAGATGTAGAGATAAGAACAACACTGTCTTTGCCCTCAGGGAGCTTACATTCTATTGGGGGAGACAACATGTACTGATAAAAGTTTAAATAAAATTGATATTCTTGAAGGCTATGATATCAGGGTGCAAGCTGTGTTAGGCTCTCCCAGGATGAAAAGGACTGAAGTACAGTCTTAGAAAGTCCAAGTCAGCTTTCCTTGAACCATTGTGTGGAAAGACTTATCACCAGTATGTTGCCCATTTGGTAATGGATTATTTGGCCATGACAACACATGTTATTAAGGATAGGCTGGTTTTCTTGTGTGACTCCTACAAACTCCTCAAGCAAGTCCTCAAGAGTAGTGAGCTCTACATATATTTTTAGTAATGGGGTTAATGAAACTAATAGAATAAGTATAAAGCTTCTTATGGGGACTACTTTGAAAAACAGAACTCACATGGATGGCTATGTTCTCATGTGTTCTATGAAAAACCTCCTCTCTACTTGACGATAATAATAATTGCTAGCATTTATATAACACTTTGCATATGCTATCTCATTATCTTTATAACCCTATGAGACAGATGTTGCTATTTTACAGATAAGGAAACTGAGACCTTTGTCTGAGGTCACAACTACTAAGTGTCTCAATCAGGATTTGAACTCAGATCTTCTTGACTTCAAGTCAATCAGTATATCTACTGTGACACCTGGCTGCCTGAGAACTTGGAAGGACCAATAGTGCAGCACAGAATATAAGGTGTGATTAGTATTGTATTATATGGTTCCCTAAGAACCATCATTATTTCTCATCCTTTTCCTGCTGCCCACCAGCATAGCTGACCACAGGGTTTGATACCCAGTAGGAGCTTGCTGAAGGTTGATGATATCCTTTGAAGGCAGATGGTTACCAAACATCAAGTTCTTTATTGTGTGGTGAGCCTCTACTAAAACCTTTTTTCTCTTCATGGTAAGGAGGGGACCCTGAGTTTCCAAAGACTGTGCTGGTAAGATTCAGGCTCTGGCAGGGAAGGGAAGTTGTAAACAGTCTGGGAAGAGTTTGAGTAGAACCTGGTGATGTACTAGTGACTCTTATCCAAAGGGGCAGCCTAGCTCCTGTCTCAGTTCAGAGAGACTCATTGCCAAGTTTGCCTTAGAGTGATGACTTTTTTGGTTTCAGTGACTCATGAAGCCAGTTAACTGACTAAGTCATAGAGGGGTAGCAATCGGCAACAGTAGAGGGAGTACCTCTCAATGATGAAACAGCAGATCACTGGAGTCCTGAAGGTAGTAGTAGACATTGGAGCTTTAATACTGAAGATTTACGTGGTTTTTTTTTTTTGTTATTTAAATTTGTGATTTCACTGATTTAAGGAACTCCCTCTACTCTTGCAGATATCCATCTGGTTTGCAATTTATAGTAGTAGAGAGTTCTTGGGGACAGAGAGATTTGTGACTGGCCCAGGGTCAAACAGTTAGAAGTGAGACTCGAATCCAGATCGAACAATTACCCAACAGGTATTAAGCACCTTCTATATGCCAGAGGCTGTGCCAGGCACTGGGGAGACATATTAAAAAAAGAAACAGTCCCTACTCTCAAGGAGCTTACATTCTATTGGGAGACAACAGATACATAGATAGTTTTAGGCGCAGCGAGGTGGTGCAGCGGATAGAGCTCTGGCCTTGGAGTCAGGAGGACCTGAATTAAAATCTGACCTCAGACACTTGGCGCTTACTAGCTGTGTGACCCTGGGCAAGTCACTTAACCCTGATTGCTTCACCAAAAAAGAAAAAAAAATACACAGATAGTTTAGGGCTAGGAATTAGACCTACTTTTATTGGTATGGGTTATTATTATTTTTTTTTGGCAATTGGCAATTTAATTGCTAGTAAGTGGCAAGTGTTTGGTCTGAGGCCGGATTTGAACTCAGGTCCTCCTGACTCCAGGGCCAGTGCTCTATCCACTGCATCACCTAGCTGCCCCAGTATGGGTTATTCTTAAAGGAGGAAACTCCTTTACTGATGTAGGTCAGCACCTTCTCTGCAAGAAGATTGCTCCTAAAGAGTTGTCTAGAGCACTAATAAGTTAAATGAATTGCCTGGGGACACCCAGCCAGTATGTGTCAGTGGTGAACTTGAACCCAAATCTTCCTGGTTCAGAGGTCAATTCTCTATCCATTAAGTTACATCGCCTCTCAAATCTTTATTTGTGTGTATATGTATATATGTATGTGCATACATATGTTTGTATATGTATATATGTGTGTATGTATGTGCATATGTATATGTATGCAGGGGTATGCAGGTAAATGTTTAATAACCAACTCTCTGAAAAAAAGTATGCATGGCACACTTTTAAGTTTAATCTGCACTACCAAATTTTCTCCATCACTTTCTTAAGTCTAGACAAGCCACAAAAGAATAAATCAAGTCCTATTTGTAGCATTTGCCAATTTTTGTGGTCTAAACACTCACATTACAAATTTAACAATTCACTCTCAGGACCTGACTCGAGTTGGCTCCAGCACATGCATGTATAGGTATGTGTGTGTACACATACATACATGCATGCATACATATATACATATTTATATGAAGAATAAATACCAAATAAATACAAGTTAGCTTGATTTAAGGTAGTTGGAAGGGAAGGCTCTGGTTGCTGGAGGGATTGCGGAAAGCTTTTACAGGTGGTGGAAGCATGAGTTAATTCTTGAAAGAAGGGAAGCAGTCTCTGAAGTAAGAAAAGAAAGGCATTCCAGGCATGGGGAAATACCCTATACAAAGGCATAGTGATGGGAGATTTGACTGCTCTGTGTAAATAAAAGAGAAAAGGCTGTTTTGCTAGGCTCTACAGTACAGGAAGAGGAGTGATGGATAGAGACTGCAGATATTCACGTTAATAGTAAGGCAGCTGGTGGTGTAATGGATGGAGCTGTGGAGCTGGAGTCGGGAAGACCCAAGTTCAAATGCAACCTCAGACACTAACTAGCTGTGTGAACCTGGGCAAGTCACCCCGCCTCTGTCACTCCGCCTCTGAATTTCATGGTGAAATTCAGTTTCCTCATTTATAAAAAAGGGAGATGATAATAACAGCACCCACTTCCCAGGGTTGTTATAAGGACCAAATGAGATAATATTTGTAAAGCACTTTGCAAACCTTAAAGCCCTTTATAAATACTAGCAGTTAATGTGGGTGTTAACCACATGGATGCCTTTAGCCATAACAGGGATACAATATGGATACCTAGTCCCCTTATGGATATACAGGCCATATTCCTTAATGAGAAAGGAATTGGATGATGGTGTAATACACCTGAAAGGATGCTAGTTTTAGAGACAGAGGGTCTGGGTTCTAATCCTGGCTCAACCATTTGGTAGCTGTGTGACCTTGGGCAAGTCAATGAAATTATCTGGACTTCTGCAAAATGAGGGAACGGGATGAAATGACCCCTGAAATCTCTCTACTGCTGGATTGACAGTAATTAAAAAAAAGCCATGACCTATAGGGAGGCAGAATGCCTGCCTAAAATGAGTCTTAGCTGAATGAACAGCCCATGTCAGGAGGAAAGGCTCTGCTTAACTGGGACATTTCCTGCAAGACAGCAGAAACAATCTGGCCTAATGGAGAGAGTGCTGGACTTGGAGTCAGGAATACTGGGGTTCAAATTCTGTCTCTGATATTTACTAAGTCTGTAAGCCTGGCCAAGTCAAAACCTCTCTGGGCCCCAAGAAACTCACTAGGACTTATTTACTAAGTCATAGAAAGTTGAAATCACCTTGATTGAAGGAGGCCCAACCCTGAGAGATTCCTACTCAGGTAAAATCTTAGGGCCTTCTCATGTTTAGTATAGTTTGAGTACTGACTCTCAAAAAACCAGGACAAAATAAAGTTGTCCATTTTGGTCAGGTATTTTAGTCATGTCTGACTCTTTGTGACCCCATTTGGGGTTTTCTTGGCAAAGATACTGGAGTGGTTTGCCATTTCTTTCTCCAGCTCAGCTCATTTTACAGTTGAGGAAACTGAGGCAAACAGGGTGAAGTGACTTGCCCAGGGTCACATAGCTACTAAGTGTCTGAGGCCAGATTTGAACTCAGGAAGATGATGAGTCTTCCTGACTCCAGGTCTGGCATTCTATCTGTTGTGCCACCTACCTGCCTAAAATCCTCCATAAAAACCAATATGCTAGCTATAGTTGTTCCCATCTAGACAGAGTAGTCTTTGAAGAGGCATTTCATTGTATGGGCATACATCTATTCTGCATGCATGGGCTCACAGGGGTTCTGAGCATGGAAAGTAGGTTTGAATTTTTGTTGGTACCTGAAGGGACAGTTCCCAGACTCCTGATTCTGCCAGTGACGGCAACTCTCATGGTTGCCTGGCCCTAGGCATGAGCATGAGGACTTCATCTGATACAGGGATGGGTAGCCAACCAGCGCTTAGATAAACAGAACTCAGTGGGTCAGGAGGCTTCATTCTTTATACACTGTCCAACCAACCAGAGCATCATAAATTCCTGCTGGAGTATTAATGGGGACACCATCGTGTTGTACATTGTCTGAATCAGTTCATTTTATGGAAAACAAGGTTTTATGGGCTCCGCTGGGCTCTCTCTCCATCTTTGCTCATGGGTGAGGGCATTTTTTGACTGCCTTCCTTTGTCATTTTGGTCTGAAAACTCCCGTAGCAAAAAAACACACAGACAAAAGGAAATCATGTTTTCCACTCCTCCTCTGAATTTCCTTGCTAGGTTGTTTGGCATCAAACAAATTACTCAGTCAGGGTTTTTGTCCTAGAGTGTGTCTGCATTAATTTCCTTCACTCTCTCTCCCTTACCATTCCTTAGGATCTGTATTTTGCTGAGAATAGCATGAAGGCCTCAAGCAAATGCTGCCTGGTCCTTAGGTTCACTCAGGCCAGTCCTGTCCAGATTTCATAGATGGGACAAAATAATTTAGATGTGAAAGGGATCTGAGAGGGGAGGTACTCCAGTTGTCCCATCTTTCACTCCTTCCCCAAACCTACACCACCACCCCCCACACACGAGCGCACACGAAACCATACTATACATACTTCTATTTACCAGTTCTTTCTCTATGTATCTGTCCTTTTCTGACTATCTGTCTCTCTCTATGTCCCTGTCTCTATCTCTTTTTCCTCTTTCTGTCTCTATCTCTCCCTTTCTTTGTCTCTCTCTTTCTTCTCTTTCTGTTTCTATCTCTTTATCTCTATTTCTCTCTGTGCCTTGGTCTCTGTCTCCCTTTCCACCTCTGTGTCTCTTTGTCTCTCTCTTTCACACACACACACACAGACTGATTCTCAGAGTTGAAAGGGACCTCAGGATTCATATAGTTCAACTTTCATGGGAATTCTTTCTTCATCATCCCAGATAAGTGGTCATTCATTCTCTAAAGGAAGACCTCTAGTTGGGAGTGGGGGAGGGAGGTGTTCCTGCTACTTCCTAAAGTAGCCTATTCTGGACAGCAATAGCTCCAATCAAAGTCATACCTAGGAAGAGCAAGTGAGGCTTTGTTCTGGGTGCCAAAATTTAGACAATAAAAAAAATTTAAAACATGTGTAACTTCAGAAACTGAACTTAGGATCTTTCTTAGTAGCCCTAGCACTTAGCACAGTATCTGGCATATAGTCAACACTTAATAAATGCTTGTTGATTGGTTAGCTAAAATAAGAAATGATTAATCCTTAGCTCTGTTAATAACACTTACCCCTGAACTCCCATAATAACTTATTCCCTCCTCCCACTCAACTGTCTCAATTCCTTTTTGTATTATTAAGTATTGAATCACAAAGTTGATTTGAAGGCACACTTCATGCTGCTTGCCCTGGGCACCAAAGTTGCTAGTTATAGCCAAAAAAGATTTCCCCATTATTATCCCTGTTCGTCTTTTTTCTGCATCTACCCATTGCTTTTAGTTCTGGGCTTGGCAGCCATGAGGGGGCTCTCCAAAATTGGAGCCTGAAGATAGTTCAATATCTGCTTCAATTTCCCAGCTGTTGTCTTTTCAGGACTTTCTGTTTTTGTTCTGATAAATGGTGAGGGAAGAGAGATATTTCCTAGAGGCAACAGAATTCTCCTTCAGATGGCTGCAAAGTTTAATTTGCTCCCCCTCCCTCAGCCCTCTCCAGCTTCTGCCTGTCCACTGGGTGCTCACCGTCATGGGGATATTCCAGGCCATGTACACGTGGGACTTGAAGTCATCCATCCAGACCTCTGCAGCTCTCAGGGCATTTCTCTTTGCATAGTAATCAATGTCGTTATTGTAGGGTTTCTTTGTGCGCTCGATATGGGCCACACGGGAACAGGGCAGTACCTCCATGCTGCCCCCACACTGCCAGACCTGAGGAGAGAGGATGGAGACCTGGGCTGTGAAGATGACCAGGAAACCCTGTCTCAGGTGAGGGGTGGGAGAGTGGAAAGGTGTTTGTTATATGATGGCCCTGCAGTAACCACTAGGGTTTCCTACGAGCTGAATATTTGACTTGCTCACTCAGTATGAATGAAACTAGTTGATTCCTACAGATGTGTTAAGTCATAACTGAGTTGGACTTTAATAACTGTTAACCAACATAACCCAACTCAATTAATTGATAGGCATTTATTAAGTACCTCCTCTGTGCTGGGTACTGTAATAGGTACTGGGAATAATACAAAGACAAAAGTAAAGATAGCCTCTGTCCTCAAAGAGCTAACAGTCTATTGGGCAGACAGGATGAACATATATAAACACATACAAAATGTACACAAACTTCAGGAGAAAATTGAGATCTAGAGAGGTCTGCGCAAGGCCACCCAGGTGGTAAGTAGTAGAGACAGAATTTGAACCCAGGACCTCAGGCTCCAAATGGAGCATCCTTTACCACATTCTGCCTCTCAATGTGTTCTGTCTTCTGAAAGTGTGAATCTCACCTTCTTGAGTCCCAAGCTTTCTTTGATTCAGACAAGCCCAGGAGAGATAGAACTTCCTTGAGGAAGTGGGAGTCATAGCTAAGAGTAACATAGGGCATAACCTACCCTCTTCCCAGGGAGAAGTGAGAACAAGTGCTATCTCTTATTCTTAAATACTACTTGAAAAGGAGATTTCACAATTTTTTCACTCCTTTTTGCTTTTCTAGGTATTCACGGCGCTTAGTACCATACTTGGCACATAGTAGGCACTTAAGGAATGTTTGTTGACTAACTGACTAGCTATTAAATACTCAGTCTCTGAGATCCCCTAGTAAAAACCATATTTGAACAGGAATTCCCTCTGTAAGACACTTGCTAACAATATATTAATCTGAACTGCATTAAAGAAAACGAATGTATCCGCATTCATCCTCTGATTCAGACATATCATCTTTTGTTGTTGCTGAGTTATTTCAGTCGTGTCTGACTCTTCATGACCCCATTTGGGGTTTTCTTGGTAAACATACTGGAATAGTTTGCCATTTCCTTCTCCAGTTCATTTTATAGGTGAGGAAACTGAAGATAACAGGGTGAAGTGACTCCCCAGGGTCACCCAGATAGTAAGTGTCTGAGGCCAGATTTGAACTCATCCTGATTCCAGGCTCAGCACTCTAACCACTTTGTTACCTACCTGCCCGTTACATCATCTTTATGTAGTCCAAGTCAATGAATCTTGACTGTGTGTTCAAAGGTAATATTTATGGGGGTGTGTGTGTGTGTGGTGCACGCTAGTGCATACACATCCTTCTAGCTAGCAGTCTTATTAACCCAAAAGCTCTGAGTCAATAATACCTGACATTTATATAGTGCTTTAAAGTATAGCTCTTTCACGACAATCCCATTAACTTGGTACTACAGGTCTTATTTCCCCCATTTTACAGATGAGCTACCCAAAGTTCAGAGTGATTTGCTCAAGGTCACATAGTTAATAAGTACGTCAGGACTGGGGAAGGATTTGAACTCATATCTGGCCTGACTCTGGGTCCATTGCTCTCTCCACTACATTATTCTCGTCTTGCCTCTCTCCCTATAGAATAAAAATTTTTTGATGTGAAAGGAAAATGCAGAACACAGTCTCGCTGTTTCCAATCCAGTTCAACCAGACTGGAATTCTCCCTGCAGCCTGCAACACATTTCTCTTCTCTGCGTGATAGTTAATGACCTTGTAATTTTTTATATATTTTGATACCAGGGACCAATACATTATCTGAGTGGCAGAGTTATTTCCTTCTAAGCTCCCTGGGAGATTGATGCTTATGCAAAACGGAGAATTTAAAAGGCTCTAAAACCACAGCTTTAAGGGAAACAGTTTAACCCCTCCATAAATTCCCAGCAAACACTAGTAATAAATTTTTCCCTGATGCAGCCCAGGGGGGACCCAGGCACCCAACTCAGAGCAGAACAGGACAAAAGGGTGCCTTCCTCAGTTTTAGGAAATGTGTATTATACCAGGGATTCTGGTTTAAATATGACTTTGACTAGAGGACCCTGGATCATGGATCTAGAATCCGAAAGGACTTTAGATAACATCAGTGGATTCTACCACATATCCAGAAGGCTTTTGGGTCCTTAACACTTGGGGACAGGCATATTGGTCAGCTAGAGTAGTCTTCCTTAGGGCTCTTTGGAGCTGGCTGAATAGAGGGGTAACTGAATTACTTATCAAGTGAGATAATATATGCAAGGGGCTTTGCAAATCTTTAAGTGATATATAAATGCTAGCTATTATTATTGTTATTGTAATGAACAAATAATGAATAAATAAGTCTGTTATCAATATTATTTTCTATTATATTCTCTTATCATTATTTTCTATTATATCCTATTGTTCATTTTTCAGTTGTCTGACTCTTTGTGACACCACGTGGCGTTTTCTTGGCAAAGATACCGGAGGAGTTTGCCATTTCTTTCTCTAGCCCATTTTACAGATGAGGAAACTGAGGCAAATGCGGTGAAGTAACTGGATGCTAGGAATATAAAGACAGAAAAGAAACAGCCCCTGCCCTTGGGAAGCTTACATTTTACTAAACAGACAGCAGGAGGCAGAACTGAAGTTCTCTACAGTGAAGATAATGTCACCAGTACAGACAGCTGTTTATTGGGGAAATGATTGGGGGAGTGTTAGTGAACTCCAATTTCAATCTGAGTCAACAACAGATCTGACAACCAAAAAAGTCAATGAGATATTAGGCTATGTTAAGAAAGATGAAGTTTCCAGGATTAGGGAGATAAGGGCACTCTGCCCTGGTCAGACTAATATATACAGTCTTACATCGAATTCTAGGCACCACATTTTAGGAAGGGCATCGATGCGTTGGCCAATGTCCAAAGAAGGGTGATCAGGTTGGTGAAGAGCCTTGGAGCTTAGGCAAATAAAGATAAAAGCAAAGAACTAAGCATGCATAGCCTGCAGGAAAGAAAACACAGAGGAGGCATGGGAGCCAGATTCAAGTATTTGAAGGGCTATCCTGAGAAGTATTCCGTTTACTTTCCTTCCCCTACTGAGAAGAACCAGGAGCAATGAGGAGACATAACAGAGAAGCAAATAGGTTTGATGCAAGGAAGAACATGACAATTAGTGTTGTCCCAAAGTCAAACAAAAGCAGTAGTTTCCCTCTCAGTCTTTAAGCCCAAGCCAAGTGGCTCCTTGTCAGGCATGTTGTCATTTTGGCTGGTTTGTGTTCAGGGAAAGTTTAGACTAAGTGCATCCAAGGACCTCCTAACTGAACTTTTATAGTTACATCAATTCAAAGTGGAAAATTAAGTCGAATTTAAACTAAAACAATGCCAATATAGTTGAAAAAGCTAATACATTTGCTTCCTAGAAGGAGGTAGGTAGGTTTGAACTTTAGTAGCTTAAATAAAAGTGGTTTGTATTTCTGTTTAGGGGAAGTGGCCCCTACTCCACTGGGTCTTCCACACAAGTGCTCAGCATCAAAACGGGGTGTTTGAGAGTGAGATTATGAGTTGCGACATCTGACTGCCCCAGGCACGATCAAGGCACTTATGAAACAGCTAAGTTTGAAATCCAGACAACTCTGAAGGGAAGTCCTGTTTTCAATTACAGATGCTGAGGAAGCAGCTGCTAATGCAGTGTAGGAAGGAGAGATTTTCAGAGTCATTAGTGACAGCGTGTTTACAGCTAGGAGATGGTTGAATGGACTTCATGAGAACAAGGCTGACAAAAGCAGGCTGGATTTTTACTGTAAAATTTACCACTTGCTCATAATCGTCTTTAGTCATTCCCTGTGTAGCTAGTTTGCTTAACTTAACATGAGAGGAAGTGTTAAAAGGCAGATGTCCTCGGTTCAAATTTATTTCCATCTCTTACTAGCTGTTGGATGTGGGACAAGACAGTCAACCTCTCTGAGGTTCCTCACCTACAAAATGAAGGTGTCAGATGAAATGGCCTCTCAGGTTCTGTCCAGTTCTAAAGCCATGCACTTCCTGAGCGCAGGGGCCACTCCTCTCCTTTTCTTGACTCCCATGCCCAGCTACAGAATAGTCAGAATAGTCATCCAACATGTGCTTGAATGGCTTAAGCTGGTTAGGTCAAGTAGCCAAAAGATTGGAACTCTACAGGTGTTCTCCTTGCATCTGAGTTTATTGACTACCTTAGGGGCAGCTAGGTGGTGCAGCGGAAGGCGTACTGGGTTTAGAATCAGGAAGACTTATCTTCATGAGTTCAAATTCAGCCTCAGACACTTCCCATTTTGCGTTCAGAAATATACCACAGGGGGAGATAGAACTTAATTCAGACAATACACGCTTTGTATTTACTTACTGGTGTATCCTCTTGGCACAGTAGATAGAGCATTGGGCTTGAAACCAGCAAGTCTCATCTTCCTGGGTTCAAATCTGGCCTCAGACACTTCCTAGCTTTGTGACTCTGGTCAAGTCACTTAATCCTGCTTACCTTAGTTTCCTCATCTGTCAAATGAGCTGGAGAAGGAAACAGCAAACTAATCCAGTGTCTTTGCCAAGAAAACCCCAAAATGGAATCACGAAGAGTCAGATACTACTGAAATGACATAAAAACAAATGCTAGGTATGGCATTTCTGGACCTGACCTTTGCCCATGCCTGAAATGCACACCTTCTTCACCTCCACCTTTTAGAATCCCATTCTTTCTTCAGGAAAGGGTCTTCATAAAGGCTCTCCTGATTTCACCAATGGCTAGTGACCTGCCATACAAGTGCCCTTGTAATTTTTTTTTTATTTTTGGCTAGGCAATGGGGTTAAGTGACTTGCCCAGGGTCACACAGCTAGTAAGTGCCTGAGGCTGGATTTGAACTCAGGTCCTCCTGACTCCAGCACCGGTGCTCTATCCACTGCACCATCTAGCTGCCCCACAAGTGCCCTTGTCCTGAAACACTTTGTATTTAATTTGTC